AAAGCAGACAGCAGCTTCATTTCTAATTTCAAGAAACACAGTATTTTTTAACAGTTAAACAGCATTATATTTGATTAACAAGCCAAAATATATATTTTCAAAGCCTTATTAAAAGCCCCTGTATTTAACAGTGTGAATGCTGAGATTTACGAACCTCTGCGAGCCAACACTGCTCCTTCAATTCTCAAAAGTAATTATAAAACAAGCAATTTGAGCCACAAGCAGCAGAAACTGTCGAGCTTGGGGTTTTTAACCACGCTCACAACACATCACAGTCTGCAGCCTGACTCCAGCTCCCTCCCATATTCCCTGTGCCATCCCAGGCCAGGCAGGACTGGGGTGCACCCTCGAGTATGCCAGAGCCACCAACCAACCCATCCCTGGGGACTGGCAGCCCAGTGACACCAGGAAAAAGGAACATTTGAACCTCCTCAGCATTTTTCTGCAGCAAAGCCACAGCTGGCAGTGTCAGCCCAAGTTTTTCATCTGCCAGTTCTCTCCACGGAGAGCCCAGGGAGGCAAAAGCTGGAGAACAACCAGAGCCCACCTCAGAATCACTCTGCGATGGAGCCAGGATGGCAAATGGTGGCTACACCCAGCAAACAGCCTTGGCACAATGAGAAAAAAGGTGGAGCTTTTTATGGGCTGAGCAATTTGGTTTATGTTTTCTCTGTTCACTTTGCAAAATACATATAAAAAGCTTCTCATGCATCATGTTAAATTCACTAAAAATTTGTGACCTCATGCAGAAGTAGAGCTATTGCAGATATGTAAGCTCCCAAAAAAACAACTGTCTTCCAGCACTGGAGGTATCATCTCCAAAACCATCTCTTACAGTTAAAATGACTAAGCAGATAAAACAGCTCTTAGTCATAGTACAGAATAGACTGCTGACTTAATGGATGCCATCAGAAATCACAAGCACTAAGGAAACACAAGACAGTAGGGACAGCAGGCTAAACTAAACTTTGAAGTCCTTTAGATAAAATGTCTGAAATACCAACTCACCTTGAGTATGAAATGCCAGATTCCCTGAGGAACATGTTCATATCAAAATCTGGGCCCTCCTCAATCAGGAAGGACTTCTTTGCATAGCAGAAATGAATACATCCTTTTACCCAGAGCACTATAATTGTGCAAAATTCCCATTTTGACAGAACAGTAGATGATGAGAGGTAAGCATTTGTACAGTTGTGCATTGCTACTAAACTGAAACTGTGTTAATAATTTAATGTGTTAATGAATATTAGGAAACAGAATTACAACTGACCATATGTATACATTTAAAATGTGGCATTCCCTTTAAATTTGTACTGTGCATAGGTAGCTGTGCTTCCATTTTTCCCTGAAACTAACTCGTGTTTCTTGTGAAAACTGAAATTATCCAAAAAGTATGGTGTGGTATGCAAGAAATCTGAATTTTCATCAGTTTCTTTCATGCTAATGATAAATCAATGTAAAAACTTTCTTTTGGCTGTATATATTCTTAAATATTAATAAAGATAACGAGGAAGATTCCGGGCAGAATATTAGCTTGAACTATGGGAAACACAAATTCCTCACATATTTGTAAGTTGCTAATTCTCCATCTTCTTTATTCCTCTGTCAGTTATTAATATGACAAAGGGCTGAGGCACCTTTCTTCATTTTCAGTAATTGCATTTTTTTTACAGCAATGATTTTTTTCCCTAGTAATAGATTCATTAAGGGTAAGTAAAGTGCAAGGAACCAGCTGGTTTAGCTCCTTCGGAAAAGGACCTGGGCAGTATTAGGGTTCACAAGTTTTATAGAAGTCAACAGTACCATGCTATTGTGAAAAAGATTGGACTGTCACGTTGCAGAAGTAAATAGATTGCAAGGCATGTCATGTAATAAACTCTACATAGGATTGGCACCAGCTTATCTGAGTATCATGCTCACCTTGGACCACTGCCAATCAAGAAAGGCAGAAAACAGCTGGAGATAGGCCAGAGGAAATAAAAACAGCTGGAGATAGGCCAGAGGAAATAAAGAATGAGAGAAAATTTGGAAAATGTGAGCACTAAGGAACCATTGAAAAAAATAGCAGTTATTTAACCTGAGGAGGGAAAGGCCAAGGAAAGATATGATAGCAGCTTTCCATTAAGTCAAAGAAAAAAGGAATAATCTGCTTTCTGTGCCTATAGGACTGGACAAGAATTAATGCCTTTTTGGTAAGAACATTTCTACATAGAAAGAAAATGTTTCTTATATTGAGCAAATTGCAGTGTTAGAATGGATTGCTGCTTTCTCATTGAAACTCACTGAAAGTCTCTGAAAAAGATAAACATCTGTCAGGAATGGCAAAAATAGTTTATTTTACCTCTCAACAAAGAATGGCCTAAAAAGAAATCCCAATGCCCAATTCTATTTTTTATGATTTTTTGAAAGCACGGCACTTCAAAACAGCAAGCTGGACGTTGATTTCCAGAGTACATAAAAACACACCTCTGTCTCAGACAAATTCATACTTTTCAATGCTATTTAATACAATAATGATATCAATAACAAAAATGAAACTACATTAAATAGCATTTCTTCTGCATGTATTAATATTTTTCCTTATTTCTACAAGTTTAATACTCCTTCTCTATTCTGAAATCTGTTTACTTCCATTTCTACAATATAAAACAGTCATTGAAAGATAGATGTTTTCTTTCTATCAACCAGACTTTTAAAGAAAACAGAGAATACAGCCAAAAAAAAAAAAAAAAAAAAAGAAGAGCCACTTATGGAATTACATTTAACACAACTTCTATTTTAGAATCACAGAATGGCTTGTGTTGGAAGGGATCATAAATATCATTTGTTCCAACCCCCCTGCTGTGGGCAGAGCCACCTTCCACTAGACCAAGGTGCTCAGCTTCTCTGGGCAACCTGTGCCTCCCCAGCCTCATTGTAAACAATTTCTTCCTCATAGCCAACTTAAATCTACCCTCTCTCATTTTAAACCCCTTTCTCCCCGCCCTGTCCCCACAGGCCTTGGGAGAAAGTCTTTGTCCACCTTTTTTATAGACCCCTTTTACATACTGAGTGGCCACAGAAGTCTCCTCAGAGCCTTCTCTTCTCCAGGCCAGCCAAGCCCAGTATTCCCAGCCTGTCTCCATAGGAAAGGTGCCCCAGTCCTTGGAGCATCTTCGTGGCCTCCTCTGGGTCCCTCCAGCAGGTGCCTGTATTTCTTGTGGGGACCCCAAAGCTGGGGGCAGTACTGCAGGAGGGGTCAGTTTTACCACCTGTTCTTTGAAAAAGGTAATTTCAATAGGATATTATAGCTAAGGCAGTACTCAAAGAGCATCTAAACAATCTTATAAATGTTGTATCCTACTGTTTGGACAATAGGGTGGGATAGATTTCATTATTAACAACAATTTCAGAAGTTATCCAATATCAGTTAATTTGCTTTGAGCAGTAAAGGTACTCTAAGCAATTACTTGGCTGACATAGAACAAAAGATGAAGTGAATTTACATATGAAGTGTACACAATATTACTCTCACTCTTGCTAATACATTATCATCATGAGAAAGTAAATGAAGGTATTAATTTCATTCACATTTGTGTTTTGGAAATGTCTGAATATGCAAAGCAACATCACAGCCTCATCATGCTACAATGTAAATAAATACAGTATTTCAAATAGCACCTGCTTCTATCATATTCTATTATAACCAAAGTATGTAAACCATGAACATTACCTTTGGACAGAATAAACATTTTAATTTAAAATATAATTAATTCCATTGTTCAAAAACTGGAATTAAACCATCATGCAATGACTCACAATACTTCACAAATAATTTGATGACTGCTACTGATCTTTTTCATTGCAGAGAAGTTTAGCACAATAAAGCAAATTTCCCAGCTTGGCCATGATTCATTTCTTAAGCTGTTTTCTGATACAAAAATGCAAAAACCCCACATAACTATTATGAAATAGCACCCAAAGTATGTTTAAAAATACAGAACTATTGTCTGAACCTTCAGAGACACACCTTAAAAAAAATACTCTTTATTGTTCACTGCATCATTTGCACTTTTTACATAATGTAATCACGGGATTTAAATAACTCAATATTTATCCAGGAACTGGCAGCCAGTATTCTACCCTAAGGGATGTAACTCTTTATAAAAAGCTCATTTTACAAGACACTAGTTTTGGCATTACCATCACCTCTCACATAAACCATGCTGAAAACTATGGTTTATCCTGCCAAATGCCTTTCCTGCATATGGTGTTTAACAGTGCTCTGTAGGTCTGAAAGCCAGTAATAATAGATTTAAGCTAAAAATCTGGTAGCACACATGTATGTAACACAAAAATTTAAACAATGCTACATTTTCATGGATATATTTACCTACATAGTCCACATGCATATAAGCAAATAAAATTACTCTTTAAATTAATGTGCTAACTATAACTCCTGTAAAAATACTTTCTCTTTCAGTTTCCAGAAGCTTCCTGAAGTTTAATTCTCCTATTGACATCAGAGGCAGAACTTCCATTAACCTCAGCAATATAGGATCAGGCCACAGGAAATCCAAAGTAATATATTTAAAGACAGCACATACACATTTTTAAAACTCTCTAATTATGCAAGGATGGGCTTGGCACTTTACTGGGTTAACTGCCCCAGTAAATTTCTAAATTAAAATTTTAAATAGCACATTTTAAATACTACATCATAAATACATAAATACTACCACATAAATAATGACAGAATAAAATCCAGTTATGTGTCGACATGTGGTTAAAGATGGACCTGATGAAATTTTTATTGTAGGCAACAGCAAACTTCACAACCTTTTTGACATTTGAAGTCTGATTTGAAGTCATACTGTGACTGAAGGGAATCAGCTAAATTTGTTAAGTAGTATTTAATGTAAATGTTCTTTATAATTAAGACACTTCATAAAAAGATGAGTGATGGAGTTTAAAGTGTTAATATATTGACAACTGGGTAACATAATGCTGAAAATACTCACCACTTTCAAAACAGGCATCAAATATAAGATGTCCTTTTTTGGGCTGTCCGCAGTAACCAGCTGGGAGAACAATGTACTTGCTCACGTTCCCTGCTATGATATCATCACTTCCGATGGCACTGCCTGTTGCAGTAAAATGGAAAAAAAAAACCATGAGCATAAAACAAAATATATTTAATATATAAAAAACAGTAGAAGGCTACTTCCCCACACATTTCTACATAAAATAAAATTTGCACAATTTAACATCTGCACCAGTAAATTCATTCTTTCTTTTCAAAGTGTATATAAGGTTTTTGATATAATAATGGAATAATCTGTTAAAGCCTCTCTAAGGGACAAACCACCCAGCCTGGTTTCTTGCATGTTTATGACCTGTGGCTAAGCCCTCTCAGATGCATTAGTCTGATATTGAGCTGGATCTACTTCTTTCAACAGGAACTCTCTAGCTCTAGATCCTGCTGGATTCCTGGAACTGAACTCCTCATCAGGTTCTTTATCACAACCCTCAGAAGCATCTTCCTCTCTATCAGCATTAATGGGATCTTCTTCCTCTATCCTGCTGCCTATTTTCATGCATCTTAAATGAACCTAGAACCTTTAAGACTGTTCAGTCCCACTCATATTTGAAATTTTAGAATTTTTAGAATGAAGATATGTACACCAATAGAGCCATGTGACAATCTGAGCCCTCCTTGTTAGGAAACAAAACTCAGAAAAAGAACTTGTATAATTATATTTTTTAATGGGGCATTATTTCACAGTAAAATGCAGAAGGACATAAAGTTTCCACACAATGGCATGATTTTTGTCAAAATACATGAGTACTGAATACACTGAAAGCTTTATCCTTACAGTAAAATTATAATAATAAATTGCAGTCTGCAAAATATTTGTTTCCAAATAGGGATAGAAGACCACTAATTATTTTTTTCCATTTGAGATATGTATAACAAAGCAAACAAATAATTGTATATTATATCATACATTTATATTATAGTGTAAGACACACTCAGCATTTTCTTCACTACTTACAGCTTGGACAAGAAATATTTAACAATAGAAAAGCTATCTTCTGTATAACAAAAAATGAAGAAATGGTATGGCTTCAAGTGCAGAAGGCATGTGATGGGATAATGGGATGATAATATCTTATTTTACTCTGATAAATAGGGCTACTAAGGCTTCTAGAAATAGACTTTTGGTCTGTACTGATTTTTTTGACATTTAAATGGGTTATGGGGGATGATAAATGTGACATAAAGCTCAATTTGTTTTATTTTTATATTGAAAACTATTTCACACAAATGTTACAAGCAATTCATATTGTCCCTGAATGGAGAAAACAGCTTATTAATTAAAAGTGACCTTTCCATACATAAAAGTATTCCACCTCTTGAGGCAAAACACCTTAGCTGAGGTAACAAATTATATCAATGTATTAGTGACACCATAGTTAAAGGGTCTGTCAGGCTTTCTATCATATACCCATATTTTCACAGGTACATAAATCCCACATTAAAAAATACGCAAATCCAGGTCAATATTTGGCATATTCTTCCCTAGGAAGAAATTTGGAACTTTCTTTGGGAAGTACTACAGAACAAACAGAATTTAGACCTTTTCTTACTTTATCATAATCTAAAAATGTAGATATTTAATAATGCATGACAGTATTTTTTAGCAAAATTATTATTTGTAACCTCTGGGTTATTTGTTTTAGACCGAATAATTACCCACAGACAGCAATCTGTGGCTTTTAAATTGTTTTCTTTAAGTGTATAATTGATACTTAGGATATTTTAGCTGGATGTTTTTTACCAGCATGCTGATACAATTTGCTTAAAGCCTGGGAACACCAGAGGCAAACTGAGGCCTGGATGGGGCATCTGTGCATCAGCATGGCTGTGATCCTGTCCCTTGATAAAATTCACCCTCTGCATTGAGCAAGCTGCAGTGCAGAGCAGCAGCCAGAGGAAAACCACTTCCTCAGTTTCACCTGAGCTGGATTAATACATACCTCTTGCAGTTAAGATTAGTCAAGTTGGTCATTTGCAATCAAACATTGTGGAATTGAGGAAACAAAGAAAAATTAGTGGAAAACCTGCAAATCACCATGAGTGCCTGAACTGCCCGGGACCAAAGTGAAAGAATTGGAGGCAGGGAGTCACCAGAGTAGAGTTGTTTGAAGACTGGACTCCTCTTGGTAAATGTTCCTTTTGAGCCTCAGCTAAAAGTAACAGACCTCTTAGAAATTGTAGAAGATAACTGGGAAACACCACTTAAAGATGAAGAAACTAGAAAAGATTACATTCATAGCACTGCCACCATAAAACAGTGGAGGAAAAGCAGGCAGAAGAGAGATTTACATCTCCCTGGCAATTTAGAAAACCTGCCAATGGAGACTTTACACAATGCAGAAGGAAGCTGTCAAGTAACTGTGTCCCAGCAAAAAGTTTCCATCTGCTCCTCCTGACCTAATGTAGCCCTCCAGGAATGAGAATAAAATCATCAAATAGCCTGCAAATCATAGTCATTTAACAATATTACTCTCCTAGCATGTTCTTTATTCCACAGTAATTAGAATATTCAGGATGCAGTGTTGTTGTATTTTGAGTTATATTATCTTTAATCTCTAAACATGCAAAACTGCTGTCTTTGAACTTCAAATTATTAAACAGCACAACAGCACCACGTCCCTTCTGGCATGTTCTCCTTGGGTGATAAAGGCAAGGCCAGAGAACTGCCCAAAAAGGAGCCTGCATGAGTCCATTATAAACCATGGCTTCACGCCTGTGTGCTCAGCAGATGCAGAGAGCGGTGCTGGGAACACATCCTCACCCTCAGACGGAGAGAACAGCTACCCTGGGCTCCAGTCCTCTGGCCAATACAGAGATCCTGTCCTCACAACTGGGGAGCCCTAAGCAGATTTTCCTGGCTGGAGGCAAAGATGTATGACAGAACCTTGTGGGGAAGGGAAATAGCTCTTCAATCTGAATCAAAGTGAAAGGGAAAGAAGAGAATTAACTGAAGTACATCCTGCAACTCCTTCCACTTAAGGAGACCAGATTCTCCTTTGGAAAAAAGGTTAGATAAGACAAGCAAAGGCAAAACCTGTCAAAGAAATTGTCTCAGAATGTAGTTCTTATTTTGTCAATTATTTTTCTTATGGGTTGTAAGACACATAGCTATTTTATTCTAATTCTTCATAGCTTAAACTCCAGGAGGCTCCAGCAAATCCCTAGGATTTACTTTTACTGCAGTATTAAACTTTAATAGTAATTTTCTATCAGGTATAAAATCTGTGGGTGCCTGAAATCTCTATAAGTATATAAGGCTTTAAAATAAAACCTGGTCAGAGTCTTCTGGTATCTGCATTCATCACTATTGTCATTGTGGATATATTTCACATCAAACTAGTGAAAATGAATAGAATCAGTCCCAGGAGACTGGGATTCGTGGAGGGAGAGTTTGAAAATTTCCAGAGTTTCTTTGCCCTTCTTAAATTCAAATGATAAAGCCAACTTTTTTTTTTTTTTAATTTAGGAAAAGATTAAATCAGTATTTGCTACAATAAACAGCATTCAAATTTAAGTACATTTTCTTTAAACACTGTAGTTTAAAGAGGAAGGTACCTGTTCAGAAAGTAACAGGGACTCTGGATTGGGTAAACAACAAGCCCAGCTTTCAGAAGTGCCAAACATGAAAACTCACAGAGTAAGCAGCCAGCAGCTCCCCTCATGCTACATTAGGCAGGAGAGCACAGCTACATTAAAACAGACATGGAAAAATATAGCGGGAATTTGCCTGGAAAACCTGCATCTTTCTTCTAATCACACTGCCTAACAATGACAGCCAATTAGAAAGGTGGGGTAACACAAAAGCCTACAACAACTGCAAGGAAACTTTGTAGAAGTCTTTCTGTAATTACAAATGGTATCAAGATACCCTGCATTCTCCCATGAGATCCTTATTTTAGAATAAAATTAAAATACATTTTGCTGCTGGAAACATCTATGGTATAAAGATCTAATAACCAGATCCTTGTCATCCAGGGGCCAGTTAAAGTTTCTAGGTATCCCAGAAATGCTCCACCAGCATTGAGCCACACTGTTAATAGAAACCCACACAAAGAAGGGAATCTGAACTCTCAGTACAGTTTGCAACAAAACAAATTAATTCAGATGACCAACAGCAATTTCTATTAGCTCCAAAACATTCCAAGTCTCCAGATGAACACTGCTCAACTCACACTTTGGCTAAGCAGCACTTTTGGATGTTATGCCAATAACAGTCTGCTCCACAAACCTGAAAACAATGTCATTTTAGCAAAATTCTTTTAAATTATAGCATTAGTACAGGTCTATAGTCTAATAGCTGATTATGATCTCTTGTTCTTTGACCTTTTTTTTTAATAAAAGTTTTTATATCATTGTCCCTAGGCTTCAGAAATGGAAGGCAAGCTATTTCTGCTATGACTTCTGAATGCTCTGTAGCCATTCTAAAAATCCTACAGGCAGCAGCAGTCAGGAACTTGGAATTCCAGCTCTATTGACTTAAAAATGCTAAGAAAAAGAAGAAAACACAACTGTCATTTTGATCTTCACAGTCAGGTATCCTGAAACAAGGCTTGGGCATGACCTGGAGAATCTAAACATACTGCAAAGTGCTGTCAATCTGAAATGTACTTAAATCACAGGCACTGTGATCTGAAAAGAAAGGGAAAAAATATATTTAGACTACAAATCCCAGGGTTTGAGAGAATACCCGGCATGGTACCAGCTACACCTGCTGCATCACACTGGGGTACTGTGCCCATTCTGTCACCATTACCTATTTCAAAAGTCCAGCAAGGAAAACACTGGTTACCACAAGAAGGCATTGTCATATAGCTTGGACTAGTTCTAAAAAATAGTAACATCATGTTGTCATTTAAAAACCAAATTTGAGATAAAGCAGCTTTGCAGCAATTGTCTCTTCAATTACTTTCCTCCTACGATTTGACCAACAGACTGCTTGTCAAGTCTGTCTCCAAACTGAGATGATATTCATATTCAAGAAAACAAGCAAAGTAAAGATGAACTGTAGTTTAACAGAGATTATCAGGCAAATTCTGAGATTTG